TATTATTATTATTATTATTATTATTATTATTATTATTATTATTACATACACGGGAAGGTGGTGTGCAGGCAGCTAGAGAGCAAACTTGCAGATTAGCTTTGTGGTCTATTCTTGCCTCCTCCCCTCCCTAAAATCCAGGTAATAATAAAACTCTTTGGATTGAATGGGAAGTTAGGAATTGGTGTGAGTTGAAATTAAAAAGCCGAGTCAACTCCCCCCAAAAATTATTTTGTCGGAGACAAAAATACTTCCCTTCATCTGCTCTTTTATAATTTAATCCAGCTTTACCCAAACTAATATATTTTGGGTGTCATGAACCACAGTTCCCATCATCCTGTGGCTATGTTGGCTAGAAATGCATGCCTCATTTTCTCTGCAGTATGCGCCTAGGAGGCAGTACGTCTGTGGGATTTAGATGTATTTAAATATTTGTTTCTTCTGCCTAATTTATAAAATCAATATCTAATTTGAAATTAAAATTTCTGAGAAATTCAGGGTGGTTTACAAGAAAACTCTCAAAGGCAGCTATTGTAAAGCATCACTAGCACTGCTTAAAACAATATTAAAAGTATGTATTTTAAGAAAGAAAAATAGTAGTAGTAATTTACTAGTGCTGTTCGGCCATAAAATGTGTTTTTGTTTTACATATGCCTGGCTGAACAGTGTGTTTGAAGTTGCCTCTAAATGGGTGAGGGTTGCACGGTTCATATTTTCCTTGGGAAAGTTCTATAATGGGGGTGCTGTCTCTGAGAAGGCTCTGCTTGTGGCCACTGTTCTATAAACCAAACCAGGGGGACCATCTGGTCTAAATGGATGGTAAACATAGATGATTAGGGTGTCAACGCTGCAAATATTGTATATTCTTGCTTTTAACAATATGCAGAATTGTCTGGTAATTATGGGGTTAATACAGAGCAGAAGGGGGGGTTGGGGGTAAAGCCCGGGAAAGAAAGAGGAAGAAAACATTTGACCTTCACACTAACTGGATAATGTGAGATATGACAGTTAGTTTGGGGATGGAACATGCTGATAATTTAACTGCTCAGAGGAAGAGAACTTAGATCCTAGCATCCCTCCGTTATCCCTGTGCTGACATTTTGTAACAATAAAAGACTTTTAGGAAAATAATGCCTGGAAGTTCTTTGAAATGTTTCATTAGCCGGAACCATAACATAGGGGGCTGGAGGCTAAAACATATGACAAATGTTTGTGGCAATTGCGTATGTCTAGCTTAGTGAAAAGGACTAGGGGTGGTGACATGATAGCAGTGTTCCAATATTTGATGGGCTGCCACAGAGAAGAAGGGGTCAACCTATTTTCCAAAACATTAGAAGGCAAATAATAGAAGGAAACTAATCAAGAAGAAAACCAACCTAGAACTAAGGACTTGTGAAAACAACTAACCAGTGAAAAGCCTTGCCTTCAGAAGTTGTGGATGCTCCATCACTAGAGGCTTTTAGTAGAGATTGGATATTCCATTGTCTGGAATGGTATACGTCCCCTGCTTGAGCAGGAGCTTTGACTAAAGACTTCAAAGGTCTTTTCCAACTCTTATTATTTGAGAGAAGTGCTGCCAACCTCTCCCCTCTCCTCGTCCCTTCCTGGGCACAGATAGAAGGAGGGAAGGAAGGAGGCGAGGGAAACAGGAAAAAAGTAAGGGAAGGGAGGAGATGGGAATGAAAAGGAGGGAGGCAGGGAAGAAGGGGAGGGAGGGAGGGACGAAGGGAGAAAGGAAGGAAGGAAGGAAGGAAGGAAGGAAGGAAGGAAGGAAGGAAGGAAGGAAGGAAGGAAGGAAGGAAGGAAGGAAGGAGATTGGAATAAGGGGGAGGGAGGGTCTGAGGGAAGTCCTGCTTTAGCACTTGGCCACCAGCAGCCCTTTTGCCTTCCCCTGGTTGTCTCCCATCCTATTGCTGAGGATGCTTTGGTTACAAAGCCAAGTTTCCTCACATGGAGAGGGAGTGGGCCTCCCTCTGACCCACGCACTTTGTCCTACTGCACCCACTATGAGCAACCTGGCCAAGGAGCGTGAGCACAGCAGCAGCAGCATTGAGGAGAAGATAAGTGCAGCTAGGCACCCCCTTGGGGAAGTGCGGCTAGGCTAGGCAGGGCTGTGGAGTCCTGGGAGCTCAAGAGCTGGGCTGGACACTTGACCTCCGCTGCCCAGGGCTCTGGGCAGTCCATGCCACTGTCCAGGGGCCTCATGACAGCCTGAGGCTCAGTGAGGCTCCTCTAGCGGACCATGCCCTGGCGCTCGCCCCGTCCCACCCACCCTTCCCCACCCTTCCCCACCCTCGGATGCACCTCATTCCTGCCCAGGCTCACACAGGTGCCCGATGTGAGGGACATGGATCTGGCCATGCCCACCCAGTAGGCCACGCTCATGCCAGCCACACCCACCCAGCCCCCCAATGGCAACCACGATGCTGATGCGGCCCTCAATGAAATAAATGAATTAATAAATGAATTAATAAATGAATTAATCCCAATCCTAAAACTGAAGCTATAATGCCATGCTCAAATACAAAATATGGGTTAGTGCAAAAAACTGGTTCACACAACAGGTTAAATAAGTGGCTGGATCTATGGAAAAACAGTCAATTTGGTATAGTGATTAAAGCAGGGGTCTTCAAACTTGGCCCTTTTATGACGCTGGCTGAGGAATTCTGGGTGTTGGTCCACAAATAATAAAAGGTCCAAGTTTGAAGACCCCTGGATTAAGGTGTTGGCTTAAAAACCAAGAGACTATGAATTCTAATCTCACTTTAGGCAGGAAAACCAGCTGGGTGATCTTGGGTCAGTAACATTCTCAGCCCAACCCACCTCAAATGTTGCTGTTGTGGGAAAAATAGGAGGGAATATAGGATATGTTTGCTGCCTTGAGTTACTTATAAAGTAACCAAAGTGGGATAAAAATCTAAGAAATAACTAAATGTTGAGCACATTTAATGTACTATGCAGTTCCTTTCTAGCTGTTGAGGTATCCTAATCTATGGGATTTTTGCACCTCACAAGACTCAGCAAAATACTGACAGCACAAAACGAGGCACTTTCAGGCTTAAAATAGAGAGTTTGGGTCTTCATCTATGATGCAAACATGCCAGGCCACATCTTTTTTTTGTCCCCAACCCATGGGTAAGCAGCCAACTGCTAAAGACAATTTAAAGAAATCTTTTTCCTCTTCTTCCAGCACCATCAAAGGACAAATGCAAGGTGTAGGAAGCCCATTAGAGTTTGTCAGCTATTATTTTGGAGGATATGCCAGTTGACCAGCATTGGAAAAGAGATAATAGAAACAGGCTAGGGATCAGCAGTGGGATCAGCAAATTTCATGCCATTCATTTTCTACTAACTCAAGGAGGGCAGAGAGCATGTTAAACAGAAGTGGGGAAAGGCCTCTACATGTTCAATTCTGTGGGCTTGAAGTGTTTAAAAAAGATGTTTTTTTTTTCTGAATAGGAAGCAATGGGTTAGGGCTTTTAAAGATTTCAGTGTTTTGATTTGTTGTTGGGTGGCTTCGAAGAAAATCAAATTTATTATATATACAGAATTATAATAACTTTACAGTCTGCAGACATAAAAACACCAAGAGTTGGTTTCTCATATGCAAAATTGAAGTGTTCATTTTTTCTTGGAAATTTATATTTGACAAATCTTTAAAAAAACTCAGTGAAGTTTGTTTGCATTAAGAACCAAGTGGACCAGAGTATCAACCTGCATCCCATAAACCTTACTGACAGCTTTAGCTATCAGTAGCTAGCAAGGTAAGACAATAGCTAACAGGCTAAGAGCCCACCCTATAAAGCCAACAAAGCTACAGTTAAGCCATTTCAAAGGATCATGTCACAAGATTATTTTGTAGAGCGTTACCAGGGTCCGCAAACAGTCTATTCCTATCACAAGGCAGTATAAAACTGTCCATTAAAGAACTGGTGCCTGAATTGTCTTTTTTCATTCTTCCCTTTTCCCTCTTCATCATCTCTCCATAAATCATAAACCTAAGAGCAGGAGTAAATTATTTTGGATATCCAAGAGTCAAAAAAAATAAAATAAAAGAGCTTCCTAGATTTTTGGCTGAACTGAGCAAGAATTGAAAAAGTGGTTGCTGTGACTTTTTTTTTTTCCTGAATAGCTACTGTACTGAGTAAACGCTCTACTGTATCATATAGAGCAATTTGAATCAAAGTTCACCCAGAGGAAAATTCAGCTAAATTCAATAAAGCATTGGGGGGGGGCAACCCTCTCAATCACCACCCATATTGAGGCTGACTATGGATAATGGGAGTTTTTTCCAGTAACTTTGCTGTAGTGTATTTATACTGCTGCTCTGGACCATATGATAGCACCTTGCAAACTGGGATGATTCTTATATTCAGTCAGCAATTTCTCCCACCTATTTGGTTTCTTGGTATCTTTTCCTTAACCTTGACGGAAGAGCTTGGACTAATGCAAAAATATGTAATAGTGACATATAATGTAAAACGCTGATCAAAGAGGAACAATAAATAATAGTTCATCTGCAAGGCATTTTGAGGAAGCATTTCAGGACACCTGAGCATCCAATAATCAAATTTAAGGAGATGGCCAGCCACCAACTACCTACTTGTATCCCTGACAAAGAAGTTCAATTTTCAGAGCCATTTATTCCAAATTAATAGGTGCCTGAGATAAAGAACATAAGTTTACCATCGCCTTCCTGGATTTTCGTGTGGAGACAAGACCCAAACGCCGGACTTATAATCATGGGATGTATGTGTGTATAGTGTTGTGTCAAGATAATTTGCTCGGCAAAAAAACACACCTTACGTTCTTTCCGTACCCAGATTTTCCAGCCCACCCAGTAAAGAAACAACTTTGTCAGCCACGAACAAAAGTAAAGCAACAGCCGAGAGAGGGGGAAAGCAAAAATCGCCCTCCTCCTCCCCGTGCCGCCCCTTGTTTCTCAGAGCCGCCCGCCACTCTTTCCCCCCCTTTTCTCAGGGCCGTCTTCTAAGGACACTCACCAGCACTCTCTGCATCGGGCCATCTACGTATATTTCCTGGGCGGGGACGACGGTGGCTGCTGGGAGTTGTAGTTTAAAAGAAAATAACAATTACGACCAGTTAGGAGTGCTGGTCCTTCTTTACACTACAACTCCCAGTATACTCTAGTGGAACAAAATAAAAAGGAGCTTCCGACATTTCCGGAGAACGTCATCTTTCCAGTGAATGAAACCTAGAGGGGCGTGTAACATTTGAACGGGTGTTCTTTGAATGTGCAAATGAGCAGGGCTTAAACATGTGCAGAGTACCTTTTCCATATTTTTTTCATTCCTTGCATCATTGTGTATTTTTTATTTCCCACCATGATATCCCCTTTCTTATTCATTCAGTTTGACAAAGAATTGCTCTTGGAATCTTTCAGAATCAGATCACTTTAAACAACAGTCTGCCCTTAGCCATCCATAAATCTGATGGTCTTCAGTGTGAAACTACAACTTCCATACTGCGGAGCATGCAAGCAGAACCAATGGAGTTGTACTCAAGCATAGCTGGTAGATGATGGTGATGTATAGAAAGCTGTTATTGTAAATTCTATCTATGGGCTTTACTTCTGAGTAGTGCTAGGCTTACCATGTTTGTTGGCCATAAACTCTCAAGTAGCTTCCATATACAGATTGCTTTAATTTCCCATGTCGTCAATGAAAATAATAAAAGAGTTTTGAAATAAGAGACCTCTTAAGTTTTCTGACTATAGATGATTCTTTATCAGGACTGAACTTGAGGAAATTAAACCAGCTTCTGGTCTAATTCATTAAGAACCACAGTAACGGAATGTTCTTGTTTAGACTATAATCTTACATATATGTATAATCAACAATAAATGTGAAGTCACATTGAGCAAATGCGAGTTTACTCCCAAGTGAGCATATGTAGGCTTCAGCTCTGCAGCCTGACATCATTCTTTTTATTCAGAATTCCTGCAGAGAACCATATGGAATTGCTGCTACATTTTATGCACATAAACTTGGATTCAATTCAGCAGTTTGACATCTGAACACCCGGGCTGCTTATGGATGCTATATAACATTGTTTGTATTTGTCTGTTCCTGAGTCTCTCCTTCTATGCATTCTTCGATACCAGCAATCTGTTGTTTGATTTTGCCCACTCCCATACATTGGTATTGATAGATTTCATTATTTTAATCATTATTTTTATCAGAGTATATTTATAGGGAGTCCATTTCCTATAGTAGTGATGTTCTAGTTATCTCTACACACTTTTGTTGGCAACAGTATGGAAATGGATTGCCACTGTCCTTTTTTTCAACTTCTCAGTCCAGCCTATAATCCTGTGTTCTCCCCTCTAAATTTCCAAATCCAGACAAAATCAACTAACTCACTGTGTCTCAACCTGGGGCCTGAAAAATTATTATGGGTGGCCCCATGTTCACATGTTAACATAAAATAACTGTTTTATAGGTATCAAAAATATGCACAAGGTTTTGACATCCTCATTTAGACTCACAAAAGTTGGAGCTAGGAAAATTAATGAGATTTAGCAATCAAACCAAATTAATCTTGATTTTTATTACTAAAGATGGTATGGGAAGAAATGCATGTGGCAGGATATCCAGCGACACTATATTTTCAAACTGGCCTTAGGGTATTCAAATACTTTCAGTAAAGATAGATACAGTGGTCCATGTAAAGGAAGAAGTTGGGAATTTCTGCAGTAACAATGAAAATAATCTGAATTCTGTACAGATTACTCAGTATTCTGATATCACTTCATCTTTCTGCAACTGAAATTGTAGAGGAAATGTTGATTAAGTACAAAATATGTGGCAAAGCCTCAGGATCAGCTTTTTTGAAAGAAAGGAAATGAGGCAAGCATCTTGAACCAAGAAATGGGGAAACATTGAAATTTTGCATTCCTGGACCAAATTGCTCCTTCCAAAACTGGCTTTAACTTCACACATTGCACTAAATCATATTGTACTGTAACTGTCTTATTTGGTTTCATGAAAACCCAGCCACTATAGTTTGAAAACTACGGTTTATTACTTAGCATGTGTGAACACACAAATGTGGTTTATTCAGTAAATTATAGCTAAACAAGGCATGATCAAATAGGATTGTTGTGGGAAAAGAAGATATGTACTCTGCTTCAAGCCCCTGAAGGAAAAGTGGATTAGAAATCAAGATTAAACAAACTGTAATGTAGCCTGATGTATGGTTTATGATTGTATTAATATTGTTGTATATGAACTCACTTGTGATGTAGGGTTAACTTCTTGGTTGCAAAGTGGATTAGAGGATCCAGTGGTTAAATCCTTTGGGGCCAAAATCCAACCCCAAACTGTTTATATTTAACTATTTATATTTTATGTAGTTATGATTCTACATAAATGTTGGTTATAGTTTATGCAAACGTATAAGAAATGATTACAAAATCCAACTAGAGGAAAAATGATTAATGCAGTCGCAAGTAATGGCAACTCATCTGTTCGGGGACATACTTCCTGCTCTGAGTGAGGACTATGCAGTCAGTTCTCCAAACATTCTCTTCCCAGAGAAACTCCAGAGAATGGGAACATGCTGATCCATACATATCACCTCCCTCTCCCTTGCATTCCTGAGAAATCCCCCATGCCGCCTGATAATGAGCAGAAGCGACTGGCTCTCCCTGCTGTTTCTGTCGACAGTCAGGCCTTATCAGTTCTGTGTAGTAACAGACTTTGGCTTTCCCCACCCACAGCACATTGTGTGTGGGTTGCTTACCGCAAGTAGGTGTTTAAAGGATCAGGGCTGCCATTCATTCTGAGACACAAATATTTTGAAGTGGCAGATAGCCTCTTGGCCTCTGGAGAGCAGCTTCTCCCAGGCTGGGCCAACCCAAGGTAATGACAGCTCCTATGAGCAGAAGGCCATCTGCTGGGCTCCCAATGCTTCAACAGATGCTTTGCCTCTTGAGCCCTGCTGACTTGGATTAATAGTGCTTATTCAGGGGCAGCAATGTTGGGAAAGACCTCTGTCTGAGACCTTAGGATGCTGCCCAGTCCTCCTCTATCTATTCTCCCACAGACCTTGGGCTACAGCTCCACAGTCCCCAGCCAACAAAGCCAATCCATTTGGTGTTATGGGTGTTCCAGTCTAAGTCATCTGGAGGACATCAACTGGGGGAGGAGTAGAATATTAACTATGTAGAACCAATAGGCTGATTTACTCATTTAAAAAAAAATCATATTTAGCTTTTCTATTCCATGTATTTCCTTATTCTAGATTGAGGAATTGAAGCAGTCTACTGCCTAAATTGCCCTTTTTTAAAATCTGCTTTGGTCATTTGAATGCTGTGAAAGGCAAAGGAGGAAGCTGACAATTTCTGCAAAGCTCAGGCATTTTGTTTTCTATCTAGGAGGAGACAGGTTGTTCCATTTTGTTCTCAATAGCAAAAAGAAGTACGTGCCCATCAAAATTAGGAATCTGTCATTCTAGAACAGAGGTGGGGAACAATGTCCCCTTTATGACTTGTGGACTTCAACTCCCAGAATTCCTGAGCCATCGTTCTCCACCTCTGGTCTAGAGAGTTGCCTGCTAGAGCTTCTTTAAATCTCCCCATAACCTTCATCTTGGCGCTACCATCCTTTAGGCCTCCGTCTAGATTCATTATGCCAGTGATTCTCAACCTGTGCCCCGTGGACCCCAGTGGGTCCATGAAGGCTTGAAGAAATGTTACAATTCAAATCTTGAGTTATGCCTTGGGGGTCCATGGGCATGGTCCATGGCCACAAGCGGTATTTAAAGGGGGTCCGTGGTGAAGAAAAAGTTGAGAACCAATACGCTATGCAATGCTATTTCCTATCAACATGAAAAACAGCTTGCAATCATTTCTTCTAACTTTTCAATCTGATTTCAGAATTCATACTGCAGAAAAGATTTTGAAGTTTGATAGAAAGATTAGATTATAGAGGTCAAGTGACACGATAAAATAGCCTGCTGGCTTTGGATTAATGTGATGTGGGAGTCCAGACTATTGTGTGGCTTTTCTAACAAATCGTGGCTTAGCACAGTATACTAAACCTACCAATGTTAAGTTCCCAATTTAACTGAACTGCATAAATGAAAGCAGTTATCTGATATGAACTAAATATGTCTGTAGCTAAAGTCCAGGAACTGGCTAAAAGCATGTAAAGGGTAACTAAACTATCATTCTCATTCATTTTCATCTCTCTAATGCCACCTTCTACCTTGACTGGTTACCCACCGCAAGGAGTCAAATATGTGTTAAACCACCAACAAAGCTCTCTTGCTGTCACTCACTACTCCCCCCCCCCCAGTTCTTTTAAATAAATCCCACATCTCTTGCTCTCTCCAGCAATTCCCAGAAACATCAGGATGAAATGACAGGGTGAAAGTTCAACTACCCAATGGTTATAAATGAACTGCTTCCACAGATCAATACAGCATCCTGAAAGCAGCTGACGCCAATCCAGCTCTGCAGGGAAAGACTGGACCACTGACTGATATATGGGCCAGGCACTGGACCTGCTTAGAGGATTTAAGCTGCTCTCTTTGCAATATAAGGAACTAATCCTATGCTGACCACCCTCACAGAATTGTTGTAAGGATTTGAAGCTAATGCATGACAAGTGCTTTAAGGGACTGTATAAATCCAGTGGTGGGGTGAAGGAATCCAGATTAACAAGAAGGCTTACCCCATTCATGCTGTCTGGCCACAATCAGATTAAAGCTGTCTCCAAAAATGTGTATCCAGCAAGACTGAGAGAATAAACTAGGGTGTAATCTGTGGCCATTGATGATGTTGGCAGCTTTGAGAGGAATCTGAACCTAGCAACATGTGGGAGAATACTGTTCCACTCCCCTGCTGAGAAAGAGTCCATCAGTTTATCACTCTTGATAACTTTTGTGAGAGTAAAAAGATGACTGAGATGTGGTAAGAGTTGTTTGCAAGACTACATTAAGTGGCATTATGATGCCACCCTCCTTCAAATCAGTGCCCTAATGATGTGGTGAGGTATCATGGAATTATCACCTGTAGCCATGCTGACTATTCAGTAGAATAGTGGCAGCTTGATAAAGATGTTTGTGTGAACTAGGCAAATCTTGACTCACTTTTGTGCATGGAGAGACAGAATGCATCTCAGTCGACATTGAAATGGCTTAGATTATTCAATCACTCTCCAAGCAGATGCACAGTAGGGAAACCCCTATTTGAGGAAGCGTGCTGTTGCATCTCAGCATGTGAGCATTGCCATTCTTCCAATTGGAAAACATGCACCAAGGAAGAACTCATTAGAAACACAGGGAGCGGGGGGGGGCTTCATTGAATATGGGCAATTCTCATATTTGCACACTCTAAGAATAAACCTGTCAGTGCAGTTAAAACTGAAGTAAAAATACTCGGTTTCCTAACTCCTAGAAATCTAGGAAGGATTACTCTAGGCCAGCGGCTCCCAACCTTTTCTGTACCCTGCACCCTAACCGCTTCTGGAATATTCTTGCACCCCTTACAAAAGTTTGAAATAATGGCAACAAATTATGCATATACATTATAATTTTGAAAACTCAAGTTTTTGCACCCCCTGGAATATCGTCTCGCACCCCCAGGGGGTGCG